ATCTATCTATCTATCTATCTATCTATCTATCTATCTATCTATCTATCTATATATTGCTAAGTGAAAGAACAATTTGCTCAGAATTATTTCCGACAAAATTGATGAAATCCTTACAAATTTTCAGCGAAATCATGTGGTCATCCTGGCGAAGCCCAATTTGCTGATTTCCGTCTTGACAAGGGAGAGGATTTTGTCTTTGGTTCAGAAGTTGTTTACACGTGCCGTGATGGGTAGGAGTTTTTTTTCTCTTTTTTTGTTTGTTTTTTCTTTCGTAAACTGGCCACTTAATATTTGCTATGTGATTTCCTTTAACAATTCCTTTTTATTATTTCATTGCAGTTATCAAATGGTCAGTAGGACAAGCCGAAGACGCTGCACTGCAAATGGCTGGGATGGAGTTGTTCCAGTTTGTGAAAGTATGCATTGAATTTGAGGCTCTATCTATTTCAGTATTCATTTAACAAAAGAGGAAAATGTGTCAGTGCCATAGCCATCCAAAAAAAAGCCAAACACCTTCCTTTTAAAAGCTAGAAAGTTAATTTCTCAATGTTTGTCTTGACAGTACTGAAATGCCCAGTCCCTGTTATCGATGATAATGTGAATGTGAATGGGGATCCAGAAGATTCAACCGTCGGCAACTTACTCCGATTTGACTGCAAGAATGACAATGAGATCCTGAGTGGGCCATCACAGATTTATTGTGCTGAAAATGGACAATGGAATGAACAACCTCCAACATGTGAAGGTAAAGTTAAATGTTTTCTTTTTGGTGAGGTTTCGTGTAAAAAAACATCTTACAATATTCAGTGGTCCTAAGGTCTTAAATCACCATAATATATTTCATGATCTTTATTGTTATCAGTTGTTCACTGGTGACACGAATTCCATTTAATGAAAAAAAGTTTGCAATAGTGATAACAATAATGTAATCTGTGATATTCTCATTTTTTTTTTTTTTAGTAATCTTTTCTTTTATGGGTAATGAATTAAATTGTCATCAGTCTCTTCAATGGAAATCCCTTTCCACTAAGTCTAACAGTTATTATTACTTTATTCTCTGACATTAACTTAAACCGCATGAGAATCTGGTGCTCACTCTCATTTATATCGTACTTTTTGAAAAGTTTTGAAGCCTGGCTTTGTTGATAGTTTGTCTAACATGGTATATACAAATGCAGAAAAAAATAAGACATATCTTACCATTCATCCTGCTCTCTATGATTACTAATCTGCCTGTCAAAAAATAAAGTTACGGTTTTATTTCTGTTTTTGTGTAACCTTTACAGAGTTACGTTGTGTCAAACCTACCATTGAAAATGGCTATGTGCTTAGTGGTACCCCACACTACAAAGAGCATCAAGTCTTAAATTTTGACTGTAATACTGATTATAAACGTGGAAATGAAAGGCTTCCACAATGTTCAAAAGCAGGATCAAGAGCAGTCTGGATTCCAACTCCTGAGTGTAGACGTAAGTATGATCTATGACCAGCATATTTGACAAATTTGTTGGTGAAAAAAATTCTTTTTGGCCTTTATAATACAAGAAGATAACAAAAAATGTACTTTGGTTTCCAACAAATCCAGCAATTAAGTGTCAACTACTCCTGTCGGCTGAAGGAACAAGTTATAATCCTCCGAATAGAAATGTTTTCTCACCAAATGAAAAATTAAGAATTTCATGTGGAAGTGACTACTGGATTATAAACACCAAAACAACCGAAACAGAAGTTACTTGCAAAGATGATGGAGAATGGAGCTCTGATCCAAAATGCAAAGGTATAAAAGTGCACAAGCCTCAGCGCCTAGAAAGCATGACACAGTTGTTGTTCTAATCCATTTTTATCATTAGCCCTGTATCGGTCTTATCTTATTCATTGTGAAAAATGTTTTCTTTTGTTTTAGAGGTTAGATGCAGTGATCCAACCGATCCAAATGTGGGTTATTGGGGTGCCACCTGGGCGCAGAAAAAACTACGCGGCAAAGTCCAATATAGTTGTATAAATGGCTTTGATAAACCACAGGGTGTAACTAAGGCTGAATGCACCAGAGATGGGTGGATACCAAATCCACTATGTGAAGGTATTAACATTTTTACTTTGTGCTCTTTACTTGCTCACCACCTTTTTTTTTTTTTTACTCAGAACTAAAAATATGTACGGGGTCAATTTAAATATTGTCAAGCACTGAATAGTTACTGTTTGTTGCTTTTGATTAATTTTGGTATAAGGTCAGATTTTTTAATTCTGATCGTTTTAGTAAATCATACCAGTAGGTTTCAGTAAGTCCTGTTCTGTATAGTAATATAGATACAGGAGGAATAGTCTATTAAAGTCATAATATGAACTAAAGACTTAAAACATTAGGTAAAAAACAAGCTTTTATTAGCTTGTGGTAACTTAATACTGAACAGGAAAAAATGTCAAGTTTTTTTACCCTACTGATTGAAAAAACTCATTTACAAATATTTCTATGAGTTCAGAAATTTTATTGTAATTTAGATAGATATAAAACGTTAGGAAAAAATAGTTATCTAGAGAGAAGCTGAGTACTTCATTCATTGATTTTAATAAATAACTGAAGATCATGCAAAGACTGTTATCATTTATGTTTTTGACATAAATTCAAATATATTTTACTTGTCTTAATGGTACACAGATTTAATCCTGTCTATGTAGAGGGAATGCATGAAATTCCACATTCATCCAGTTGTTTTTTGTTTTTGTTTTCTCTCAGGGACAAAGTGCGATAAACCCCACGTTGAAAACGCAGGGATCAGGCCAGAACGGAAAAGTTATAGAAATCGGGAGTCAGTCAGAATCGACTGCTTGTACGGTGATAAAACATTTGAAATGACATGCCAGCGTGGTGCTTGGACTGGGATGCAGAGCTGTCCAGGTAAAAACATACAGCTCTTTAATGTAACGTGAAACTCTTCCTGCTGCTATTTATACCTATTTGAAGTGCTTCAACATTTAGATGACTCACTATGTTTAGATGGATTTTTGAATATGTGAAATTTCAGTTTTTAGCTTTGTATTCCAGTTAAGGCAAGCCATTTTTCCCCAGAAGAAGTTATAGGCTTGACTTTGAACAACGCTGTAATAATATTAATGATACTAGAAAGCTTTAAGGCACTTGTCTCCTATGTTTAGTTACTCTTGTTTCCATTACAACTTGAAAAATGTCCAAGAAAACTTACAAAATTTGAGCAAACTGTCAAATATTTTCTAATCTTAGAAAACAATTTAAAACATTTTTTTGGGTGTATCATTTGAAAGCCAAAGTCAGGATATTACCATGTATATTGTGATTTCATTTTTACATGTCTTTCTTGCGCTTTGTACCACGAAATGAAATCCTCATAAGCTTCATAGCTAGTGAATTTTTTCTGACCTCTTTGGGC